GGGGAGGAACGCCACGTCGCAAACGAGGCGGGCGTCCTGAAAGACCTGGATGTGGCGATCCAGGCCGGCAGCGCCACCAGAGCCGGACCAGCGTGTAGTGACGACACGCTCGAAGGCGTCAGTCACGTCGTATCGGGCTCCGAAGTGATCCTCGAGGAACGCCTGGAAATCCACGAAGGTCGGAGTCCGACCCTCACTAAGGGATTGGGCATAAAAATCCTCTCACGCCTCGAAAGGACCGCCACGCAGGCGCGTGGAGAGGTGACCCACCCACGTCTCGAGTGTGGCGCCCATGAGCTGGAGTGTGCGGGTGGCAGACTGCAGCCACCGAGACACGCGTATGCCTGTACCGTCATACAAGCAATGTTCGACAAACGGATGAGTGGTGCGCCACCGTTTTGGCGGCGAGAGATCGAGGAGCGGAGGCCTGTGCCACGGCTGAGTAAGTCGGCGCAGGTCATGGAGAAAGGGGCGCAGCTGACTGTGCGCCCGGGCCGCATGGGGGAGCGGCGGTGGCAACAACGGCAGGCTGCGAGGGTGCTGCGGTAGAAGAGGTCGCAGCGACCGCGGGAGTAGCAGAAGGTAGGGAGGAGTTGTATAGGGTGCAGGGCGCGGAAAGCGAGCCTGCATGGGAGGAAGCGTAGAGGAGGTAGGGGGTGCGCCCGAAGGCGCGGCCACCTGTGAGGGTGGGGTTGGCTGAAGGCGTAAGAGGGCGAGGTCGGCCCAGAGCTGGGCAATCTCGTCCGCGAGACCTCGAACGTAGGTCGATCGAGGGGTGGCAGGAGGAAGAGTGGAGGGGGTGGACGCACACGCGGCGCGGGGCATCCCAGAGGGCGGAGAGTCAGGTGGCGCTGCGGTCGTGCGAAGGGGAGGGAGAAGCGGGGGACCCGGAAAAACTGAGACCATGGTAGCCGGTTGTTGTACCGTGGCCGTAGTGACCGGGATCTGGGTGGGTGCGCCCGTAGACTGAGGGGGGGCCTGGCTCGTTGCGGCCGTCGTGCTAGGGGCGTGGACAGTCACCAAGATGGCCGGGTCAGGGGCAACGGAGGAGGAAGCTCCGTCGTGGCCACCCTATCGGAGGACGGGGGACCCGAACTAGCGCCAGGAGATGATGGACACGCAGCGTCCTGGAGTTGCTGCATACCGGCGGCAAGGGTCGCCACCTGCGCCTGTAAGGGCGCGAAGGTCGCGAGTTGCGCCTAGATGGGCGCAAGGGTCGCGAGTTGCGCCAGGATGGGCGCAAGGAGGGAGGTGAGGAGGGTGTGTAGACCCCCCTGGGGCTGATGGCCCTGGTCCGCCGGCACGGGTGTGGAACCCGGTGCCGTGGTCATCGCCGTGTCGGCGGCGTGTGACGCACCGTCGGCCATGGGGAGATGACGGACCGGACTGGAGAAGGCCAGAAGAGGTCCGCGTGAGCGGAGGGCGTAGGGGGAAGTCCGCGGTAGAAAGCGGCGAACAACGCTAGCAAGGCTAGCACGGGCGTCGTCAAAGGGGGAGGGGTGGTTCGGGTCCAGGGTGCCCGAAGAGGACGGGGAAGTAGGGGGGGTTTGAGGAACCCTAAACCCTACAAAACCCTAAGAAAACCCTAACCGAGGTTTAAGTGGCTAGGGTAGGGTACCGGTGACCTAATCAAGAAAGTAAAATAGCAAGCATAGGGGGGGGGAGATGGGAGAAAAATAAATAAACAGCAAGATTTCGAGAGAAAATAAAAATAAATAAGAAAATAAATAAATAATAAAAATAATTAAAGAAATAAGTAAAGAGATGTGAAGGGAAACAATATTTATTTTTTTGAAATTT